TGAATTTTGGGGTGCGTCGCGGTCGTGCGTCGCGTGTNTAGGTGAAATTTCAAAGTGGGCGGAGCCTAGTCGTGTTTGGGCTCATTTTGAAGCTCAAGACAAAACAAATTGATTGGTAGTCAGTTTGGTGTGATAACTTCAAACTCTCCCTAACATTTGGACCACTTTGTCTCTGATGAAAATTTTAATAAAGCAAATTTTTAAAAAATCACGATTTTCTGCATTTTCCTTCTTCCAAAAAGTTTCAAACTTTCCGATAATTGAACATTGTAATTTAGTAAGGTCAAAAGCTTCGAAATAAGGCAAATTTCAAAGTTTTGGATTCGTCGCGGTCGTGCGTCGCGTACTTGCCTGTAATTTCAAAGTGGGAGAAGCCTAAGCGTTTTTCTGCTCATTTTGAAGCTTGAAAAACAATACATCTGAATTTGGGACGTTCTAAGCTTTGAAATAAGCCCAATCACGACTAGAATCGCGCAATTTCTATTTTTCGAGAGCGTCGCGGTCGTGCGTCGCGTGCCTCGGGGGAAAATCCAAAGTGTGCGAAGCCTCCCTCTATGTCGTCCTACATTCTTCCCAGCCATTCTAACAGAGCCCCGTATTTGTTCAGAATCAACGGTCAATACTTTGACTGCTTCCTTCACAGAAACTTGTCTATGTGGAACCGTGTATGTAAGGTGATAAATTCTAAGCTCAGTCCGGTGGCGTTTGCTAAGCGAGTAGGAGCGATTCCTTATGATATTCTGATCCCTCCCACTTGACCTACAGTACTCTAGTCGGTCCGTCTGGTCATTTTACTTTTTTTATTTGTACAGGTCCCACTTCTTGCCAAATTATCTATCGATTTCACCCCCATGCATTGCAAATAAATATATTATTAGTCGTGTTTGGGCTCAATTTGACGCTTGAAACACAATAGATCTGAATTGAGACCGTAGAGGACTTCAAAATGAGCTCAAACACGACTAGAATCGTTTGAAATGCTTATTTCCGAAACTAGCCGAGATATGACTCAAAATCCTTATGTGGAGAGTTTCAAAATGAGCCTAAACACTGCCAGATAGTGATTTTTCAAAACTTCAAAACTTTCAAAATTTCAAGATAAGTTTAGACGCTTTAAAAACAAACCAGATCTTAATAACCGATTTTTTTGCAGACCTCCCAACTAATCGGACGAATCGACAGTCTTGAAAACACGGTCCGCGAGAAGGAACAAGACCTGGACCGCGCGAAAATCCGCCTTCTATCTCATCCAGACGTTCAAAAGGAGAAAGAAATGACCGAGAGAATTGAGCAAGGGGAGAGAGAACGTATAAGGCTACAAGAGCATATCGATCAGCTAAGAAGGAATTCTGAGAAAGAGCATTTGGAGCAACAGAAGACGTATCAAAACGAGATGACACAGTTGAGAGGGACCATTGAGAATCACCGAGAGGAGTTGCCGGACAGAGATATCCGTTCGGAATCCCACTAATCCCCGCCTCCAAAATAAGCATCGACACTAAAACAATCACTCAACTTTGATCTTTTTAGGAGCGTCGCGGTCGTGCGTCGCGTGTCTAGGTGAAATTTAAAAATTGGCGGAGCCTACTCGTGTTTGGGCTCATTTTGAAGCTCTCCTTAAGCTATTTAAGAAAGTATAGCCAAAAATGTTTAAATTTCAAAACTAGTTGAGATGTGGGTAATTCAAGTTTCCTAACTTTTGAGCCCAAAACAAAGCTGCTCAAACTTGACCGATTCTAGCCGTGTTTGGGCTCGTTATGAAGCTCATTTCATCCTCAATTTTAAAATGCTCACCTTAATCTCGGTCTGCCTGATCAATTCCGTTTTATCCGATACATCGGCCTTGGCACTCGACAGATCTCTTTCCAGCACCGCTATTCTCTCATCTTTCTGCTCTAATTGCTTATTCTTCGAGTCCAATTTCTGTCGTAATGCATCAACATCGCCTTGTAACAAAGTATTATGTTGTTCTCGATTCGTCAATTGATCTTTGAGCACTTGAAGGTGACTCTTCATCTCGTTAGCCGTCTGTTCAGCAGTCTGCATCCTACTCTGGCATCCCATGAGCTCTTGCTTCTTCTCAGCCAGCTCAACTTCACTTCGATCCATTTTCATCCTCATTGTGCTCATCTCATGTCCACTTAAATTCTTATCAGTGAAATCTCTCGGCTGATTACTTCTTCCCATTCGCTGTCTCATTAGCTCATCTTCCAACTCCACGATTCTCGCCTGCTTTTCATCAATTCGTCGTAATGCGTTCTCTATAGCTTGCCGTCCTGATGGATCTTGTGATGCCATCATTGATTGAGCCTCTTTTGTTGTTAGAAGGTCTTGAAGTCTCATTATAGTGTCTTCCAGTTCTCTGACTCTTCCATCCATTGCTCCATGACTGCTACCAGATTCTAGGGCGGTGGTGAGTTGACGGATTCGTTCGTCGCGTTCGCGTAGCTCCATACGGAGTTGGAGAGCTGTAACAAACTACTGTATAATGTGTAAAATATTATGTTCTATATTTTTACACTGTAGTTTTTGAGTTATGCGCCTTTAAAGGAAGTGTCCCCGTCGACGTCTAGCTCCGAGGTACTGTCTACTTTAAAGGCGCATAACCCGAAAACTAAGCCAGCTATAAAAAATCACAAAACTAGGAAAATGTGTAAAATTTCATGTGCTATAACGTTGTGATGTAAAATTTTTACCTAGCTATCATGGTTTTTGAGTTATGCGCCTTTAAAGAAAAAGTACCCGCCAAAGTCCTGGTCTTGGGCGCCCTCTACTTTAAAGGCGCATATCTTCAAAACTACATTAGCTAGGTAACAGCTGTAATCTGTCAAAATGCTTACCATCTTATGGGCTATATATTTTTATTTTAAAATTTGACCCGGCCGTAGTTTTTAAGTTATGCGGCTTCAAAGAGAGGGTCCCCGCTGACGTCTAGCTTCGGGATGAACCCTATTTTAAAGGCGCATATCTAGAAAACTACAATATCTACTACAAATTAATAAATATGATGTTGTGTGAAATTGAATTTTGCACATTTCATAAGTTTAAACATTTTACCTAGCTACCGTACTTGTTGAGTTATGCGCCTTTAAAGTTAACGCACACCACCTAAGCGAACACAGAGAACCTCGCAACTAACTAAAGCTATCTTCAAGACCCTATATCTCTGAAATCAATTTAGCTACAAAAAAGTTGTTAACTACATAATTGCTCAGCATAAAATTTCCAACAATTCATTTGTTGAAAAATTTTCAGTATCTCTTCTCCTTCCAAAGTTGCGACCCTTCCAATATTTCCCATTTTCCTCTCCATTTATAACCGCCATTCACTTCGAACGAGAGTGTGGGGGTATAGCTCAGGGGTAGAGCGCTCGCTTTGCATGCGAGAAGTCTGGGGTTCGATTCCCCATACCTCCAGTTACCTTTTTATTTCTTTTTGCTTCTTTTTTTAGTGATTTTTGAAATACTGGGGAGGAGTGAGAGACGCAGAGAAGCTAGATTTCTTTGCACTCTCTTCTTTTCCAGCGTTTTCTAGCCCTAAAAAAAGCGATAGAACTATTAGAAGGCCCCTTGCTCAAATCTAAGCGGTTTTACATATTTTTAAATTTATAAAAATAGATAATTACCTTCGTTTGTGGATCCTAATCCATATTCATTACCACCGATCCCTCCCGACTGTACCATTCTCTCCAAATGAGCAATCCGATTAGCTTCGTCACGACGCATCTGACGCTCTCTCTGAAAAATTAGCTTGGTTATGTTTAAAGGCGCATATCTCAGTGACTACGGTAGATATTTTAAACATTCTAATTGCAATGATGCTTAGCGTAAAATTTCACAGATTTTTGTAGTTCACAACTCTTTTTTTAGCTACCGTAGTTTTTGAGATATGCGCCTTTAACAAGGGACCTCTGACGGCCAAGACGCATAACTCAACAACTACTGTAGCTATTGGAAACCTGTAAACTTAAAAAATGTGTAGAATTTTATGCTGAGCAATTATATAGCTGGAAATCAGCCCCTTTCTCTTTTGGTTTGAACGATACACTCACTTTAAGCTCGGGACTCCAAAACGTCTTGATACTATTCATTGTTTGGTTTAGTTTTTCCATAATTGTATCATATTCGACCTTCAACTGCTCATATTCTCGAGCCAAATTGATTCCACTTGGATTTAAACTATTTAAGTTCAATCGAGACATTCCAGGCTGCATTAGGTCGTAATCCTGGACACCAGGGGCTGGAACAGAGGTGGTCGCCATGCTGAAAAGATTGTAGAAGGTTTTGAAAGGTTCTAGGACATTCTAGAGGGGTCTAGAAGCTTTTTTAGGGTTACAGAAGGTCCTAGACTGTTCGGAAAGCTCTTGTAAAGCCTGAAGGATCCTAGAAGCTTCCAGAAGAGTCTAGAACGTTTTGGTCCCTATTTCTTAGATGTTTGTTTTAAATAGCTCGTCTCTTTTGATGGAACACAAAAACTCAATGCATATATTATAGTCTCTGGGGGATCTTTGAGCAAAAAAGATCTAGGAAAAAAGCGCCAAAAAGTGTTTACTTCTTCTTTTGAAAGATATAGTTGTCTGCGCCTTAAAAAAGAGTGGGTGCTAACTTTAAAGGCGCATTACTCAAAAACGATGATAGCTAGATAAAATTGGTACAGAGTCTTAATATAGATCACCAAATTCTACACGTTTTTGTGATTTGCAGCTTTTGGATAGCTACCGTAGTTTTTGAGTTATGAGCCTTTAAGGGTAGCTCGCGGAAATCGGACATTGGAAGGGAGGGGATGTTTTTTAAATGCGCATAACTCCAGAACTACAGTAGTTATCAAAAAGTTGTTAATTAAAAAGTTGTTGAACATAAAATTTGAAACATTTTGATGATTAACTAGCTACAATAGTTTTTGAGTTATGCGTCATTAAAGCGCACGGACATCGGGCGTCGGAAGGGAGGGGATGTTTTTTTAAAGGCGCATAACTCAAAAACAATGGTAGCTAGTCAGAACTTGTAAGCTACAAAGATGTAGATTTTAAAATGTTTGAAATTTTTGAAATTTACAACGTTTTGCTAGCTATTGTAGTTTTTTAAATATGCAGGGGAAGAGGCCACCAAGCTCCAGCGCGCGCTTAACTTTAAATGCGCGTATCTCTGAAACTACAGTAGCTAGCAAAACATTGAAAACTGCAAAATTATAGATCATAAAATTTTAAATATTTTTATAATTTTCAATTATTGAATAGCTACTGTAGTTTCTGAGTAATGCGCCTTTAAGTTGGGCGTGCGCGAGGACACCAAGGCGGCCACCATTCTCCTGCGCGCGCTCCACTTTAAAGGCGCATAACTTAAAAACAAAGCAAGCCAGGTTAAATTTGTAAACTAAAAAAAAGTAGATCAAAAAATTCTACACATTTTTATAATTTTTAATTATCACATAACTACTATAGTTTCTGAAATATGCGCCTTTAAAATTAAGCCCGCGCAGGGGAAGAGGCCACCAAGCTCCAGCGCGCGCTTAACTTAAAATGCGCATATCTCTGAAACTACAGTAGCTAGCAAAACATTGAAAACTAGAAAAATATGTAAAATTTTATGCTCTTTAATTTGATATTGAACAGTTTTTTCTAGCTTTCTTGGTTTTCAAGTTATAACTACTTTTCTGAAAATAGCAGAACTTTTTTTGGGTTTTCTAGTGTCCTAGTAGAAAAAAAGGCGCCAAAAACGGGAAGCTAGAAGAGAAAGTGGGAAAAGGGTCCAAATTGTTTTATGTGTGAGGTCGACTAATGCTATTTGGTCAAAAATTAGAGGGTGGGACATTTTTTCCACTTTTTTTTGGTGGGAGGCATAAAAAAATAGAAAATCTAGGATTTTTGAGGGTTTGCAATCTTTTTTCAACTGTTTTAAATGTTGAAATTGACGTTTTCAAGATTTTCAGCGTTTTTTTTATATACTAGGCAAGAATTCAGCTGAATCGGATCAAGAACGAACCAAGAACGGACCAAAAACGGACCTGAAACGAATTTCCCCTTAAAACAGCTCTTTTCAGCTCATTTTTTATGTTTTTTCTTGATTTTCAGACTATTTCAAGTCTCAATTTCTTACTTGTTCTGCCAAAATGCATTCTGTGTCGGAACAGGATTTGAAAGCGCCAACGAGTTGCCACGTGTGAACTGATGAGCTCCGTGGTGTGGGTGGCTCGTTGAAATCTCCAGTGGAAGGTAGGATGGTTGATGAATGGGCTTTCCGGATGTTCCGACTGGTTGCATTAGAGTATCCGGATAGTCTAGGGAGTCTTTATAAGCATCCAGCACACCGAGACCGTCCATTGAGCGGTGTTGTCTGGAAGAAAGGGAAAATTGGACTGGAATTTGTGGAAATTCTCTCGAAAGAGGCTGAAAATAAACGGAAAAAATGCCAAAAATGGTCCTAAAACAGCTTGAAATAGCCAAAAAATGCTCAATTAACATATGAAAATGTTTTTGAACATATTGGGCCAAAATTCAGCTGAAACGGATCAAGAACGGACCAAAGACGGACCAAATGAAAGCTGTCTTTAAAGGCGCATATCTCAACGACTACGGTAGCTAGTCAAAAATGGTAAATTACAGAAATATGTAGAATTTTATGGTCTATATTTTCGCCGTTTATAAATTTTAGCTAGCTACCATAGTTTTTGAGTTATGCGCCTTTAAAGTAAAGAGTACCCTTGCTACTGTCAGTGGGGGGGGGGGGGGTGCCCCTCTTTAAAGGCGCATATCTCGAAAACAGTAAAAGCTATCAAAAAGTTGTAAACTAACAAATTGCTCAACGTAAAATTTGAAACATTTTGATTATTTTTGAATTCACTTAGCTACCGTAGTTTTTGAGATATGCGCCTTTAAAGTTAGCGCGCACCACCTAGATGACCAAAAGAGCGCTCCTAGCCGCACAACTTTAAAGCGCATATCTCAACGACTACAGTAGCTGGCTAAAAATTGTAGACTACAAAAATATGTAAAATTTTATTCTCTTCAATTTCATAAGTTGCGATTTTTCAAAGCTTTTTTGGTTTACAAGATATGCGCCTTTAAAATTAGGCACGCACAGGGGAGGTGGACACCAAGCTCCTGCGCGCGCTTAACTTTAAAGGCGCATAACTATAAAAAAAACAAGCCAGGTAAAATTTGAAAACTGGAAAAATATAGATCATATAATTCTACACATTTTCAAAGTTTTTAATTATTGAATAGCTACTGTAGTTTCAGAGTTATGCGCCTTTAAAGTTGGGCGTTGCGCGAGGGCACCAAGGCGGCCATCATTCTCCTGCGTGCGCTCAACTTTAAAGACGCAGAACTCCAGAACTACAGTAGCTAGCTAAACATTGTAAATTACAAAAATGTGTAAAATTTTCTGCTTTTTAATTCGATATTTAATAATTTTTCCTAGAATTTTTGGTTTTCAAGTTATGACCTCTTTTCTAAGACTGGCTCTAAAATTCAGCTGGAACGGACCAAAAACGGATCAAGAATGGATGTCTTGCTTCAATATAGTCTTCGCCCAGCTTCTCGAAATTTAGGCTTAATTTTAGATACTTTGGTCTGTTTTACAGCCAAATAAACCAAAAACAGATCAAAAACAGGCAAAAAAAACGGACCAACCACAGCTGCATCAGTTCGAGGCCTAGTTTTAGGTTTTTCAGGCCATTGGAGTCATTTTTCTGCTTAATTTTGCTCATTTAAAGTCTTTTGCAAGTTACTTCAAGCTATTTCGGGTCGTTTTCAAGCATTTTTTGACCAAATTCCGGCCATTTTAGGCAATTTCAAAAATCCTTACCGTTGCAATGGTTGCCGTCTAGAAGCTGCTGAAATTGAAGTGTTCGGGGGCACCGACGGATATCCCATCGAGTTTCGTCCCGTCGAATTCATCACCGACGTTCGGCTACTGTAAGGGGCGGGGCCTGCAAAAACTATAATTTTGAAAAGTTTTGGAAGTTTCTGCTGCTCTAAGTTTGACTTTTTAAAATACGCTGAATTTAAAAATGTGGGTCTTCAAGGCTCAAAATGGCGATTTTTGGCCGAATTTTAAGACCCACCTGGCGCCATGGAATGTTGATCCGGGTAGTTCGATGGTCCGGGTACTTGATGTTCGTTGTAGGATGACGGCCAGTCGCCGTCGAGGCCATTACCGTACCATCCGACACCACGATCCAGCTTTTTGTCTGCAAAAATTGAGATTTTCGGGTAGTTGGTTTGGCGGGAAATTTGAAATTTTGAGAGATTGGTCCATGAAAAATTGCCTAGAATGGATTCTATAGTCCAAAATTTGTTTAAAACAGTGATTTCGACTGAAATTCGGGGTTTTTGGCTAATTTTTCAGATCACTATTGGCTATTTTCGACCATAAGGTATCAGAATTTTGGCTCGAAAATTCCGAAAAAAAGCCAATTTCGAAATCTTGAAAAATCAAAAAAAAAGAAGAAACGGAGAGAGAAAAGGAAACACCAAATGTTCCCTCAATTTCTTTAGAGAGCTGCGCAACTGTGATAGAGTGTGGAAAGTGAGAGACGCAGAGAAAAAGAGGGAGAGCACAAAAGGCAGGAGGGGACATGCAATGATGGTTGAGGGTGGCCAACACAAGAGGATTCAAGGGACAAGAAGAGAGAGAGAGAGAGAGATAGAGAAGTAGAGAGACGCAGAGAAAGGGACTGTATGTGTTGCTTGACCGTCAGAGGGGCGAAAAAAGGAAGAAGGTCATTTGGACGACGGCAGATTTGTGTTTGTATTGGTGTCATTTTTTTCGACACTTTCCAGCATGCGGGCCCTTACGGGCCCGCTCATGGCTTCTTTCAAAATTAATATTTTTGAACAAACTAAATTGGATCTGATAGAAAAATTCAAGTGCTACAAAATGATACCAATTAAATTACTGTATCCTAGCTATGAACAAAGTTATGATTATTTTAACAAAACTATCCTCGCGGACGGCTTTTTTGGCTCGCAACTTTGCTCATAGACAAGCTACAGTATTCCAATTAGTATCATTTTGTAGTTCATGAGTTTTTTATCATATTCAATTAAGATGAAACAAAAGCATTGATTTTGAAAGAAGCTACTATGCGTTTTTGAAGTTTTTGGTTTTCATAGTTTCCGGCGGTTCACATTTTTCTACTTTTGGTGGTTTTTTGGTCCCTACGACGCTTTTTATAGTATTTTTGGCTCATTTCCAACTATTCTAGGTTATGATTTTCGGTTTGTAAATTTGAGATTTTTCGGTCCGTTTTTGACCCGTTTTTTGTCGATTTTTATTAATTCTAGACACACTTTGGCTTGTTTTAAGCTTATTTTTGGTTTAAAATTATGGGAAAAAAAGATGGGACAAATTTAGAACTATGAAACTTATTTTTTGTTATTTTGAATCGATTTTTGAGAGTTTTCAGTACATTTTAGGCATTTTAAGCCTATTTCGGTCTATTTTAAGCCTGTTTTAGTGCCATTTTCAGCCATTTTTTGCCTCCAAAATATGTTTCCATTTTAAGTTATTTTCTTGGCTAAATATGAGCAAAACAAATGATGAAATTGCATGTTTTGATGGTGGGATGGATGATGGGCGGTCATCTCTGGCACTCTCTCAATTTCTAATACTCTCTCGTTTCTGTTTTTCCAATTTCTTTCACATTCGATTTAAAAATTAGAATTTCTAGCTAACTAAAAACAATATTTTTAAGTAGATGAATATACCTCTAACTTTAAAGGCGCATATCTCCAAAACTACAGTATCTATCAAAAAGTTGTAAACTTCAAAAATGCGTAAAATGTTATGCTGAGCAATTTTGTGTTTTGCAGTTTTTCAATAGTTGTTTTGGTTTTGGAGATATGCGCCTTTAAAGAGACACCCCTCTACAACAAGGCTTCAAAGCGCGCATAACTTCAAAAGCGCATATCTCAAAAACTACAGTATCTATCAAAAATTTGTAAACTAAAAAACTGTTTAAAATGTTATGCTGAGCAATTTGTTACTTTACAACTTTTTGATAGCTTTCTTGGTTTTGGAGATATGCGCCTTTAAAGAGGGGCACCCCCCCCCCCACTGACAGTAGCGAGGGTACTCTTTACTTTAAAAGCGCATAACTCAAAAACTATGGTAGCTAGCTAAAATTTATAAACGGCGAAAATATAGACCATAAAATTCTACATATTTCTGTAATTTACAATTTTTGACTAGCTACCGTTGTCGTTGAGATATGCGCCTTTAAAGACAGCTTTTATTTGTTCCGTCTTTGGTCCGTTCTTGATCCGTTTCAGCTGAATTTTGGCTCAATATGTTCAAAAACAGTTTCATATGTTAATTGAGCATTTTTATATTTGAGCATTTTTTAAAGATTGTGCGCCCTCTCCAACGGGTCTTCAGAGTGCGCATAACTTTAAAGGCGCATATCTCGAAAACTACAGTATCTATCAAGAAATTGCAAATTGAAAAAATGCGTAAAATTCTATGCTGAGCAATTTGTTAGTTGGTAATTTTTCAATAACTTTTTTGGTTTTTGAGATACGGGTGTTTAAAGTTCGCACCTCCTTCTTGCCGGTGCTCACCTCCCCCCCCCCCCCCCCTGCGAATTTTAAGCGTCATATCTAAGTTGATCATTTGCAAAACTACAAAAATTTTATATCAATTTGAAGGAAATTATAAGGACTTTTAAATGATATATGATAGTCAGAGTATAATTTTGAATTTATGTTTAAAAATTGAGAGTTGAACAAGAAAAAACAATTTTCCAGTTTCAGAGGGTTTTGCAACTTTAAAGGCGCATATCTCAAAATCTACAGTACCTATCAAAATTTTATAAATTAAAAAATTGCGTGAAATTTTATGCTGAGCAATTTGATAATTGACAATTTTAGTCTAGCTAGCTTAGTTTTGAAGTTATCCACCTAGAAAAAAACGCAAACTTTTTTCTACCTCCACCTTCTAAACAAAAAGCTAAAAACAAAAATGAGCAATAGAAAGAAGGAGGGGGGGGGGGTCCCGATTTGGGGTCCCAAAAAGGGAGAAGAAGGTCCATAGTACTACATAAAAGAAGAAGAAGGAGGAAGACGAAGGGAGGATGGTGGGAAAAGGAGAAGAGAGGAAGAGAGCACAATGAGCAAGGAGAGTGAAAAGCAACTCCCCTCCCCCGAAAAGAGCTCTTGCTCTTTCTCTTTGCGCAGGAAGATCGAGAGAGCGAGAGACGCAGCGTACACCACCTTTATCATCTTTTTCCCCGCAAGCGTATTTTTTGAGCAAGGTTTCAATTAGGTTCATAAGATTCCTCTCAAATTTTAGACATTTTATCTGTTGGAAACTTAGTTCTAGCTGTTCTGGGAGCTGAGATACACTATAAGGCTAGAGAGCGCAGAGAAATCTAGCTTCTCTGCGTCTCTCAGCCCTCCACACTGTCTCACCTATCTTTAAAAATGAAGCAAAAAGAAAAAAAAGTAATCTGGAGGTATGGGGAATCGAACCCCAGACTTCTCGCATGCAAAGCGAGCGCTCTACCCCTGAGCTATACCCCCACACCCTCTCTTTCGAAGTGATTGGCGATAATAAAGGGGGAGGAAAATGGGAAATTTTGGAAAGCTTGTAACTTTGGAAGGAGAAGAGATGGCTGAAATTTTTCAACTGATGAATTGTAGGAAATTTTATGCTCTACAATTTTATAGTTGCCTAATCTTTTCTAGGTTGCTTGGTTTTTGAGATATAGAGCTTGGAAGTTAGCTTTGACTAGCGACGCCTCTCTGTGTGTTTGGGAAGCGCGAAGCCTCTTTGTTTTCGGAGGGTGTCTCGAAAAATCCCGATTTTCCTCTGAAAACCCAAACCACATGTATTACTGTTGTATATCATTTTGAAGCTCTTAAACTTTCCTTTAAAATGGTCCAAGAAATTTGTAATTTCCTCAATGCTGAACTTAGTTATCACGCTGCAAAGTTGTAGGGCTCGGCAAGAGGGAAGACAACATTTAAAATGGCATATCTCAAGAACCGTATAAGCTATCAATAAGTTGTTCACTACAAAAGTATTTTGCATAAAACTTCACACATTTTGTTTGTTTACAATATTTACCTAGCTACCGTAGTTTTTGAGATATGCGCCTTTGAAGTTAGTGCGCGCTTAGAAGTCGTAAGAGGGGTAACGGCAAAAAGGAACAAAACTTTAAAGGCGCATATCTCAAAAACTACAGTAGTTATTTAAAAGTTAAAAACTAATGAAATGTGTAAAATTTTATGCTCTATATGGAATCAATTTGAAATAAGCAGATATCTACCGTAGTCGTCGAGATATGCCCCTTTAAAGTTTAGCTAAATGAAGGCCTAGAATAATTAGCTCATGTGCTCTAGTGCTCAAGAAACCTAAAATTAGTATATAACGGAGGAAGTGTGAGGATGTGTAAAGGGATCTCAAGAAGAAGAGGAGGGGTGAGAAATAGGAAAATGAAGACGTCAGATGGCTGAGAAGATGAAGAAGGGTGTGGCAAATTTTCATTTTCTTCTTTCGTCCAAATTCCTTTTCAATGAAAGTGATACTCCTTTATAAGGACAAACAGACACACAGACAGACAAAAGAAGAAGAAATAAGGAGGCGCATGTTGCATACATACTAAAATAGGGTTCAATTTGAATACTAATTTAATGGCAGTGAGAGAGAGAGAGAGAGAGAGAGAGAGAAAGAGAGAGAGAGAGAGAGAGAGAGAGAGAGAGAGAGAGAGAGAGAGAGAAAATACTTCAATGAACTGAAAATGGCTGAAAATCGGGTTCTCCTATTGTTAGGCAGTTTTGAGTTAATTTAACTTGATTTTTGTTTAAGTTTTGACTATTTTTATGGGTTTTTATAGCAAAAATTGGTCCCAGAAAGTTCCAAACACCGTTTAAAGCCAAAAAATGATTTTTAAGGCTGTTCAATGACCTAACAGTATCCCTACAGCTATCTTTGAGACCTACATCAATTAGCACGTCTTTTGGAGAGGGTCCAGCTGTCCCCATCTGCCAGGATGATGACGTGGCAGATGGATGGGCCCGACTATTCTTATTCTTTTGTGTGTTGGTGGCCTTGTGGGCCAGTAAATGGTCAATATCCAGCGCATTTACACAATTTTAGACCTGTTTCGCTAATTTTGAACAATTTTCGAATTTCTCAAAGTCTGAGCTATAAAATGAGCTTAAACGCGACTAGGCTCCGCCTATTTTGAAATTTCTTGAAAGCACGCGACGCACGACCGCGACTCGCCCGAAAAGTCGAAGTAGGCGGGGCCTAGTCGTGTTTGGGCTCATTTTGAAGCACCAGATGAGTTTAGTCTCTTGTTATAGTTGAAAAATTTGAATTCTGAAAAATTTGTATACTTTGGGTCACCACACGAAAATTTTCTGAAATTATTTGTTTCCAATGATATTTTGAACATTTCCATCAAGTTTGTTTAAAAAAATGCTTCAAAATGAGCCTAAACACGATTGGGCTCCGCCCATTTTGAGGGCCTTTAATGTAAGCGGAGCCTAATTTTAGAGTGGGCGGAGCCAAGTCATGTTTCGGCTCGTTTTAAAGCTCGGAATTTGTCATATTTGAGTTTGGTTGCCCAAATGCTTCAAAATGAGCTCAAACACGACTAGGCTCCGTCCATTTTGAAAATTCCTGAAAACACGCGACGCACGACCGCGACGCGCCTGAAAAATCAAAGTGGGCGGGGTCTAGTCGTGTTTGGGCTCATTTTGAAGCGCACGACAAGCCAAATTCATATTCTAGCTTTTCAAATCTTGAAAATCAATGTAAAATCTGAACATTTTGAAAAAAAAATTCTTAAAATCGTTTTTCCAAATTTCACACTTTTTCCCAATGAAATTTTTAGAAATTCTCAGTTTTTTTAAGCCCATGTCCTCCTCTCCCAGCTTTTCGTATACTGTAGAGGATATCTACCGAAAATTCTCCCAACCAATGTTGGATGAGCAATCTACAGTAATCAAAGAATACGATTATGACATCCCGGAAGACATGGAAGTCAGCGAATTTGTGAATAAAATGATGGATGAAAGGGAGGCAATGATGAAGCCAATTGATGAGGCATGGAGAAAACGAGAAGGAGTGAGTTTCAGCATTTTTTGGCTGAAAATTTGGCTGAAAATGTTGAAAATATGCAAAATAAGCTGAAAATTCGTCTGGAAAGGCTGAAAATCGTCCAAAACAACGCTTAATCTTCAGATTCCCAAATGCGACGACGACGAACAAATTGGCGATGGATTTCCAAAATGGCTATTTTTAATCAACAAACGAGAAATCGAAATCAAGGATAATTGCCAGGAGATTCGAGAAATTGTTTATGGCGTAAGTCTTTGGACCAAATTTGCTGAAAATAGTTGATTTTTTGATTAAATGATATTAAATTCGTATTTGGCAAAAAAGAGCTTTAAAATGAGCCCAAACACGACTAGGCTCCGCCCACTTTAAGTTTTTGGGTGCGTCGCGGTCGTGCGTCGCGTGTTTGCAGGAGATTTCAAAGTGGGAGGAGCCTAGTCGTGTTTGGGCTCATTTTTGCGCATTTTTAAAACCAAATCAAGATTTCTCAAAATCAGAGCTTCAAAATGAGCCAAAACACACCTAGGCTCAGCCCACATTTAGGGAACCCAAAATCTTCAAAATGTGTGGATCCTATGCGTGTTTGGG